AAATTACAATCTGACTACCCACTCTGTCGTACCATTGTTTTTCATCATCAATTATTGAGTGGGTTTCTTGTAAGCAAATAATTGAGTGTGGTTTGTCTTTCAAAAAAGTGAAAATATCTCTTCTTTTTGAGTTACTTGCCAAACCTCTACAATTGAAGCTGGCAAAAGAAAATCCTTTTTTGTTCACCATATTACCATATCAAACCAAGTGTAATGCATTTATATATCCCATACATATGCAAACCACCAGACATATTTGTTAAGTTACAAGAACAGCTGCGCATCCAAAATACCTTATACATATGCAAATCATCAGACATATTTGTAGGTTTGCAAAAAATAATCAGAACAGCAGAAATAAACAAAGGACGTTCCACAAATAAGAACACAAAAAGATAACTTGACGAAGCTTCACGGTCATTCATGTGTCGCCAAAACAAAGTTTCGCAGCTAGCCCCGTACATATTACTCAATATCATAGAGCCATAACAAATTCGTTTTGTGACATATATCATCTTAGTAAAACACACATATCATAATAAGTCTCTAGTCAAAGTTTAAAGCTTGACCCCGTTCATCACGCCAGCGACCATTGTAGAATCTGTACCTTACTCCTTTCTCATAGGCCTGAGAAACCTTCTCTCTCCACCTCCGTTTTTCATTCAAGTCACTGTCACTGTAAGGTCGTCCGTGAAGTAGAAAGGCTCGTCTTGTAGCTTTGTACGCGCGAGTTTCATAATGTTCACTTTATCCCAGTAACTACACAACTATTCCGTCACCATCTTTCTTTTTCGGGCCATCGGGGTGTGCGCGTTCGATCTTGACATTTTCAAGGCCGAATTTTTCCTTCAAAATGTTCTCCACTGTAGAGAAACAGTTCTCTCCTTTCGATACTGTCCGACCAATGACCCGAATGTTGTTTTGGCGCGAGAATCTCTCTAGCTTGTTACATTTTTGCTGGAGTTCTTCCACTGCTTCGTCGGTAGTCGTCAACTTTTGAGTGACTTGTTGCATCTGCTTGGTGGAAGCACGCTGCATCTTTTCAAGTTCCTGTGTTTTCTTCTCGGTTTTCTCCATACGAGCTTCCAACAGTAGCAGTATTTAGAAGAACATAATTATCCTTTGGAAAGAAGGGATCACAATTTGTATCATCAAGATCTTCAGGAGGGTTTTTAAAGGAGTAAAGGGAATGATAAGAAGTTCTAATTTCTATCATAACACGCGAGGGCACCTGAATATTTTCCCCGTCAGATGTATTTAAATTCATAACATTTTTCTTACAACAATTTCGTCGACCAAGATCAGGGAATTGTTTGGTACACCTGTCGGCAAATTCCATCCAATCAGCTCTTTGTTTATATACCAGCTGGTCCGTTTTCTGTTCATATAA